CATTTTTTCGAGAAAATGTTTTTGTTAGAAAATATATTGTATCATACATCAACCGATGCAGTTTCACACGCTGATTCCGAATATGCCATTAGTTTTCAATGGAAATGCTTTGGTGTCTGAAAAAGAGAAATCGATTGTGAAAATCAAGGCTTTTAGGACGTTTTTGGAAAACCTACCATTCGGTCCGGAAGCGTCGGCGCTAATTGGCGCTAACTGTATTGACATGTTATATATAAGACAGCATTCCCTGAAAATTTCATCAAAATTGGAGCTTCGCTAAAGTTCGCGCACGCATTGCATTGAACACACCTCCTGGGAAAATGCGCTAGAAAAATGTTTTAGTTTTTTTCTCCAACTTAGAAAGCCCAAAAATAGAAAAGCTTTTTACCAATCGATAGCGCACTTGATGCTGATCCCGAATATATGTTTGTTTGCCCAATAGCTATGTTTGATTTTTTAAAATTTTTGCGTATAATCCGATTTTCCGATGGACACAGATTTTTTAGTGTGTTTTTGTGTATAGGATTTTCCCAGCTTAAATAAGTTCTAGGACATAAAAAATTTTGCCATTAAATAGAGCATGTTCCAAAGTATATTAATCATCCTTAAAATTACTGAAAAATCAACTTTCATTTTTTCATCAAAAGCCGGCCTGGATGCACACTGTGCCGGCTCAATAACAGTGTCTTCTATCAAAAAGAATACACATCTGTTAATCGTTTTAAACGTAAGTATGAGAACAACGAACCACACCATTTGTATCTGTACATCGACAGACGTACAGGAAAAAGATATTCGAATAAAAACTGATATCCTACACGAATAGAGTCTCATGTTCGTATCTTCAACCTTTTTTATTCAGCTAGAACTATATTACGGTCAACAACGCTAATGTATACAATAAAGTCGTTAAAAATGTGTCGCACATGAACAGTAACCATCTTTGAAATGACGAATACGATGTCTATCACTAACAATTATATAACATTGTCTTATTTTGGTATTCGTCTTGTGGCATCATGACAATCGCCACATACACGTAAATTCTTCATTACTTGAATTTTCCTTGGAGGTGTCGAAGTAAAAATAAAATTAAAAGGTAATGCTAGCTTCTCTGAATGTCCACATAACAACGATTTCACACTTTCTCCAGGATTTGCAGCACATGTTATCCCTAAAGTGAAGTAATAAGAGCGTTTGGTAAAGCATGAGTTAGACAAGAAACAGGTGCCCGAAAAAATTAGATAAGGTCTGATCTCTTGTTTTCTATGAGACGGAGAATCGTCCTTTCTCAGACGTCTGACCAGAATATAGTTTTAGTCTATATTTCTGCTAACAAAGTGAAGCGTTACAACTGATACCAAAAGCATTTAAAACAGATAGTGGAACAGATACGTTACATCAGATTACAGATGTGGTGCTGGGCGACTGAAAATGTCATAAACGTATTGTTTATGTAGCGATGTAGAATTTACATGTCTCTTAGATTGTCCCAAATGAATTCCAGCGAAAACACGCAAGGAAATTGTTCCTAACAACTAGCGGTAAGAGCGGGTGTTGCACGGGTTGCGTGGAATTGTAGAGTGGACAACGAGCTACACGTCTATCTGATTGAAATTAAACTTTCTCTTGGTTTTACTGGGATAATGCTGCAATTTGTTTTAGGCTTTTTCAAAGATTTTCCAGAAGGCTTGTAATGTTTCTCCGAAGTGCCTACAAAACTTTATAATTCGTTTCAAATATTGAAACTGACAGAATTAGTGCTTCGGTAAAACACTTATAAATCCTCTGTTATTTACAAAATTCACAGTTTTACATGAAGAAGATTAATTGTATGAGTTCAACAATCATTATTTTAAAATCTTTATTTAAAATAATGATTGTTGAACTCATACAATTAATCTTTTCATTTATGAAGTTATTATCAACAAACAATGTAGGAATACATGAAGGAGTTATTGCTTAGTTGAAAGTTCTTTAAACTTTTTTCTCTTCGTATTTATTAATAAATATGTATCAATCAAATGTTTCGATATGTTAACATATCATCCTCAGTAGTATGACTACAAGATTTATCTATATACTTTTCTTATTATCCGTCGTCTCAGATCACACCTCACGTTACCTTTTCTATACTAGATTACCTTCTCTTCTTCTTTCTCCTTTCTTTTCTCTTCTCCTGTTTTTAAACGATTTTTCTTTTCTTTCTTTATCTGTTCGTACATTCTAGTACTGATGACTGATGCTTGTTTTATTGTTGTACGATCTGTTGGCAATATAATATATACTTTCTAACCTTTTTCTTTTGAAAATGTTGGACTCATTGTCGAAAATAACACTCTTCGAATTTGATTTCTTTTTTACATGAAACAGGATGTTTAGCAATCTCTGATAATTCAACTTTTGCTTTGATCTTGGCGTGACGTAATTCTGATGCTGTTTAACCCTCCTGAAGAAACACTCATTTTCACATACATACAACGAATTACATTCGCAATAGTTGTCGTAAATAGCATCTTACATTCTATATAATTTTTCGATTCCTTTTTTAAATTGGTTAAACGCTACCATTCTACTTTTATTCAAGATATTTCCTATATTTCCCTTGGCTGTTTTGTGAAGATTCGAACAATTTCTTTTCTCAGAGTTTGTTTTAGCTTTTCTGTCAACTGCCTTTCAGCTGCGGTACAACAACAGATGTATACTGTCCCTATCTTCGTACTTAACCCTTCGAATACCATGCATGGATATTTTTGTCTATATGAGTAAAAAAATGACCACTTTTTGGCTAGAACGACATTTAATGGATATCGGCCTCTTAGAGTGTAAATTTTTTAAGTTTCCTCATCTACTAAATACTTCCTTTGATATAAGCTTTATTCTGTCAGAATACAAGCGGAAAATATTCCATTATAGTATTCGAAACTAAAACTATCGAAAAACACAAAATCAATTTTGTACAAATAGAGATTCGAACTCATGAACTTAGCTTTGTGGTAAACTACTACAAAACTAAATTCACTGTTCTGTATCTATATTCTGTACAACGATTGAAGTTGTGCAAACGACTCAATGTTCTCAGTAGTAATTTGTTTTTGGTGTACTTCCTTTCCTGAAAGGTTTATTTTCCCTTGAAGAAACAACGTTTTTTTTATATATTAGCAAGGCGTGGTAGATGCAAAATTTGTTATGATAAAGCTGCATAACCTAAGTAAACAAAAAGCTAGTAGAATTAGCACCAAATGCTACAAATGCGCAATTTACGTGTGTAAAGTACATAGTCGCTTAAAGATTGTGTGTGAAGCGTGTAGTGAGAATTCTGATATATCAGACTAACTAAAAAATAAATGATAAAGCTAAACAAGGTTTAATTTTGACAATTTATACTTATGGACAAAAATGTCCTTAAATTTATCGTACCACAAATCCTCCCTGTTATTATCAAGGACACTGTATAATTCTTGGTATTATGTGTTATACATTTGTTCTTGTATTAACATTAAAATTACTGTTAAAATATGAAAATAAGCTACGTCAAAATTTAACACGAGAACATATGAAGAGGAAACAACAGTTGTGACATCAGTATTAGACAAGGTAATTGAAGGAAAAAAAATTGTACCTTTAGCAGTACTCTGAATAATTCTATCTTTTTCTTTTTTTTAGCATCCTGGATTCATTTATATTACATAATAAACTAGATTTTCTAGTTTATCTAGTTTATCTAGATAAACTAGAAAACTATTTGGAGTAGAAGAGATACTCGACGAGATGCATTATTGTTAGTTGAACAACAAACATGAACCATTTGACATGCAGTCGTCTAGGTGCTTCCACTGGCAATACTAAACAAGATAGTGTTGAGCAAAGATGCGGCAGTTGCACTTTAAAATCGATGCGAAAAGATTGAACCTGCGACGAAGGTAGGATTTTAGGCAGTAAAGAATCGACCAAATGTATAAGTAATGCTGAAGCAAAGAATGGATATAAATAATGAATAATTCAGATTAGCTATCGAAAAACAGTAAATAAAAATTGAGAAAATGTTCTTCCATCGTAAAATATTCTATATTTATATTTTGGACAAGTTTTGACATAATTATGACGTTTTTTACAAACGAATGTTACTATTATTTCATCAAAAAGTAATAGAAAATGGCTCAACTACTACTTTTCAAAGGAATAGCGATACACTATTGCTTAGTAATAGTAATATATTAATTGTTACTAATACTAGTACTACTAACAATAGCTAATCTGTTACTTTATCTAGTAGAGCGATGAGGTGGTAATAGTAAAATATCGTTCCTGGCCTAGATTGATTTTTTTTAATGATTTAGCAAGATTTAGAATTTATTATATAAATGATTTTTCTCAAATATATTTAGTTTACCATCAGCAATGCATCCAACGTCTTTAAGCGCATCATCAATGGCATCAGACAATGCCAGCACTGATTTTTTACCATCGTCAGATGATAAAAGACAGCCATAAAAGAATAGCAGTCAGATAGAATCTTCAATACAAGAATCTTTTGTTATTTCGAATTCACCCAAACCTGAAACAATGGAAGGTGCTCATGTATCATCCATTGGTCTCACGGTCGCTCTTGATCTTTCATCAGAAAGTGAATTAAATGATATCTGTCAAACATATATTGACAATTTTATTGAAGAAGTCTTACAGTCAGATTTTGAAAGCTCTCCATACCAGAGGTAAAAAATGGTCAAGAGATTTAAAAAATCTCAGTGTTCATCTGTGATTTAAACACATAAACTAAGGTTTTTGGAATTGAAAATCTGAATATTTCATGCATGTTATTCGAAAGTGCACATTACATTTAAAGATGTACTAATTCTTTGAATGTTACTTGTTTGTGTGTGATTCTTCAGGTTGTTTTGCTGTCTGAATTAACTGATAATGAAACTACAATTAATTTTTCTGAATCATTGTTACTGGAATCTTCAGAACCATCATCTACATCAGGTGTACTACGGTATTTTTTGAACAGCATCATTCTATCAACAAGATTAATGACGAATCACAACCCGTGCAAAAACAGCAGCGTAATGAAAGGTAAAAAAAGTGCTTTCATGTTTTCTTTTGCACAGAATTGCCTTTTGAATAGAAAAAGTTTTGCATTGCAAAGCGATTAAGGAGCGAACTGGCTTCTACAAAAAGCAGAAATAAACACAATTTTTTGGCATCAAGCCAATCTAGACTGAAAACTGGGTACTCTTATTATAATTTATTGTTTTCTTTCAAATTCTAAACGAAGTAATGATATATTCCGTCAATTATACGCTTTGAAAGAAAAAATGCAGACAACAATTATTAGCTCATGAGTATGAAATTGAGAAACAAAAACAGGAGTTTCGCAGTAAGCGTTACGATTTATGCGAAAAATATGATTTTGAATTACAAAAAATAGAACAAACACGTGCAAATATAATCGAACACACCAGTGGTAAACACCGACGTGTGGTAAAACCTCTAATCATTTTGTTGGTTCTTGATGTTTTGACTCAATAGGCAGAAAAAGTAGTGAGCAATCCACTGAACTGTATTGAGTTTTCACCAAGCGAAGTAACAGTATTATAATAATTTTGGTATTAGTACACTTATTATTATTATTTTTTTATTCTGCAATTGGTATTATTATAGAAAATACTTAAGAAATAAATATAGCAATAAGAAGTGGGTAAGTCGAGGCAGGCCCCATTGTATGCCCACAAGAAGAAAACAAAGAGAGCAGGTTTTTGATAGTTTAAGTTTCAGAATGATATAATGGGAATTTATATTCTCGATTTCGTTCTGGTTCAAGATTAAAGCTTAAGCCAAAGAGAGCAGGTTAATAAAAAAGAAATGCATTAAGAAAAAGAAAACGAGCCTAGATTAAAGAAATATTTATACAAAACAAAGATTGAATGAGGTAGTGATATGTGTGCATAATAGAGGAAGAGACACAAATTTACTAATAAATACGTTGATCCATGTATGCCAGTGGGATAAAAGAAAACGATAGCAATAACAGGGCTTTAAGGCATAAGCCGCCCAGTACGTTTGATAAAGTGCAGTATTTCTGAAAAGACTTCAATTACTTGCTCAACTGGCAGTTGTCTAATTGTTGTATCCCTTAAAAGCAGCTGATCAAGTTGAACCCTATCACAGTTCAACAGCACTTTGAGTTTTTCGAAAAGCTCGTTCCTCTGCTGGTCGTAATGTAAGCAGAATAAAAAATAATGAGTAGCCCTCCAACTCCGCTCAAATTTTTTCAAATCCAACTCCAACTCTCTCAACAAGGATCTCAACTCTCGTCCAACTCCGGTTGTTTTACTTTTGTAAGGAAGATTTTTCGGCTTTTAGCAGGATTCTGGACATTTTTGAGCTTTTTCCGACAGGAAGCACAAAGAACGTCCGAATTACTCGTGAATACCGCCCGTATAAAAAACCAACAGAAAATAATTTTTATTCTTCAATTCTTGTACACTTAGTTTTGTAACGTTTTAAAAATGACTGGTTAAAGATCGAAATATTAACTAAATAACACGAAGTTTAAAACAGCTGCAATTATAATCAAGTTTTTGATAAGTAAGTCGGTGCCCTGAAGCACTATACTTGAGACATTCTATCTTACATTCTTCATCGAATAGCATTGATGCATTAAATATTATTAGAAGTGAATATTCAGTCTTGAAATAAAAGTTTACTATAGCCGACGTAATAAATTCAGAGAGTTGTGGACATTCTGAAGAAGTTTTGATCAGCAGTCGCATTTGATTGGTTAGTCGCACAGGTCTGCAGAAAATTATAAATAACGTACGACGACAAACAAATTTTTTTCTCGGTTTCAGAAGATTTTCATGCAAAATAAAAGTCCTATTCGTAATCAGCGTTAAGTTCTGCATCGAACCATGTATCTTTAATCGAAACCCGAGATGAAAAAATTTTCAATGATCCAAGCGTCGGATAAGGGCAAAACATTTTTGAGAAAAATGAAACGAGCCATTTTGTTCAGAACTCGGTGCTGCATATAGTTTTTTCCCGAATTGTTTAGGGCCGCTCTAACCGAAAACCCTCCTGCGTCCTTTAAAAAAAGATTAAATTTGAAAAAATTCTAGAAATCTTCGAAAGAGAGGAAACTTCTTTTTACTAACATTAACTATAGTTAGTCTATTTTATTTGCTGAACCAGTAAATAATTATTGCTGTTCAGCAAATAAAATAGAATATAAATAGCACCTGTTTTTCTAGTTTTATTCATCTTTCTCGGTATTTCTATGCATTCCTGATGATTTCGCTTAAATTCTTTGTTCAATTTAGAATCTTTGACTAAATTAGGTCAAACAAAGACACGTTAGAACAAATGTCAGAATTATGTTGTTTTCCCAAGTATTTCATAGCAGTACCTTTTTTGCAAAGATTGTATGATTCAAAATCTGCTTGTTTTTATCAAATATAGACAACCAAACTTCCTTTCTATAAATTACTTTTCCCTTAAATGAGTGATATCACGAACATAATAGTTTTTTCGATTGATACAACGTGGAGAAGATTATCGACTACAATTATGTTTTTTGTGATTAAAAAGAACAACAGGTCGCGAAGTTGAAGAACCAACTGCTACATCCATTATTCAATCTATAGATTTAATGTGCATATTATCTTTCTCTATAAGGGAAAATTAGATACATATTCATATGTTTTGTATTTGCAATCCATATATAAAAGAGTGGAAAAGAAGAACAGATTTCAAATATTGATTTGGTTATTTTCATATGTAAACAGGTAACTGTGTTATTTATTACATTATCGTGAGAAGTAACGACATACAGTTATATATCGTG